CTCCACGCCCCGCACGTGCCGCGCCGCGCCGCGCCGCGGGAGCCGCCCGTCCCGCCCCCCGCTCCCCGCGGAGCGGCAGCGGGCAAGCGGCGAAGCGCGCGGTGCTCGCGGCCGCTTCCCCAAAGCCTCATGGTGCTTGGCGCGTTTGTACGTAGCCCTGCGGCTGTTACTGGCGTTTGCGGCGGAGGGCAAAGGCACCTCGGGCTATTGCCTAGGAGCAGAAAGCGGGTGGCCTGAAGGAGAGCCCCGCTCCAGGCAACAGGAGTCCCGGAAAGGGCRTGTGAAGCCAGGGGACCAGAAGTCACCCCCCTCAAGTACAGTTACATTTGTGACAGGCTTCACACAAGCTAGATTCATAAGGCAGGATATCCTGCCTTAGATCYAAGCTAGATCCATAAGGCAGGAATTTCAGGAATTCTCCATGTTCATGGTACTCTTCAGATGTCCTAGGGACAAGTATTCCCCTAAGGACTCCTTTCATTTCAGTATCTGCAGTTGCCTCTGGAAGTTTTATCTTTGGTCTCATTCTTGGCTGCTTGCACGATTTGGGTGTACAGTTCTAATTCTTATACCCAATCTACCTTATGTAATGTTCATTCTTATGTTCTCATTACTGCTTACAAAGTAATCTAACAGAAAAGATCTGACTGGTGAAGTGAAGACTTAGAAGTTCAGGGGAGGAAACTTGAGCTTTTTGCCCCCCAAAATAGGGCTTTGTCCATGTTGTTAGAATAGATTAGCGCTATAGATCTATATGGTGCTTTGCTGGCTTGAAGCAAAATGAATTCAAGTAAAATTATGTTGATATAAAATTAAGGAAAATCATCATGCTAAATAGTAAGCATTGACCACTTKAGTGCAAAAGAGATGGAGAAGAAACAGCTGTAAGATTTTAATTCCTTCCTTTTGATCTCAAATATTTGGAAAGACATCTGTGATTCTTAAATCTATAGAAGAGATTTCACCCCTACATTCAGAGAACGAAGTTACCCTAAGCCTCAGTTTTCRGTTATGCTTAATTAGTACAGAGCATAATGACAAGCTTCACCTCCTTAGAGCTTATGTGAATGTTAGGAAAACAGCTTGTCTCAGCGTGCTGCCAACTTGCACACCCAGACAACCGCCTGCCAGACAAGTGTTCAGTGCACAGGCCCCCGAGCAGGCAGCTGATGCTCAGCGATGCCCTCATCCATGGTGCCCTGCCTGCGCCTCGGATTTGGGGCTGCCTGTTCAGAGCAGCTCGTGGGGCTTCCTCCTCTGCAGCAGAATCAGCCCTTGTGCCCACACTGCAGTTCATCACTGTCGTGGTCGGAGGTTTAGTCTTCGTACTCAATGCCAGAGTCCTCCTTAGGAAACTACATCTGACTCAGCCACAGTCTGTGGTTCATGTTGTAGCTCATGCACTTGAATGTTTGGGCTTTTTTTTCAGCTTTTAAGCAACAGATATCCAGATGCCTTCAGAAAATTTGGAAGCTTTTAGTTTCTAGAACTGTGTGATAGCTACATTGCTACCAATCCTGATARGAAGGCTGCTCTCTGAGCAGTGCTCCTGGATGCCCGGCTGTTTCTGCAGCTTGTGTCTGTGCCTGCTTGGGCTTTGCTGCACGGGAAGGTCCTGGCCTCAGCTCTCAGCATCCACCGAGGCCCCAGCAAACCCCTGCACCCCATGGCTGCCCAGGGCAGCAGAAAGCACTGCCCGTGCTCTGAAAGATACGTTGCTCGCTTCTCATGTTTTTCATATTTTTGTATTTAGAAATCTTTTGGAAAAGAAGCAAAATTTAGATCCTTTAAATAGTAATTTGTATATATTCATCTGATTCTTTCATACAACCATCCAAAAAATATCTGATACAAAGGCATTTGTARAAGATGTCCATGAGTTTATTTCTTTGTGCAGATAATACTCAGAAGATCCTATCCTGTGATATCACTCTCTCTATCTACCTATCTCCTCTAAAATCAAATTATATTTCAAAAAGTATTATGTAAATTAAATTATTTCTGCAATATCCTGTAATGGATTTTGAAATGCTGCATTAAACAACTACCCTGAGTATATTCCTTAAAAGGTTTAATGTTGATTTTAATMTTCACTGTTTAATAAGTAACAGAAAAAAAATCCTAATTGATTATTGCTCTTGATTCGTTTGATTCACAGATTCATCCATCCTGTACTAGAGTATAGCAGGAGAGTTTTGATAAACTGATATCAAGACTAGCTAGAGAATTCTGAATAATGGATTCATCTTTATCCTACACTTTATAATAGTTTCCATTATGAGAGCACTTTGGGTAGAAAGGGCCACAGTGTTTTGGAGATGACTCACAAGTATTTTTCTTACTCTTCTCTGCTACTTAGCTGACTCAGAATAGAGATGAGGTTTGCTAAACTTCAGCATCTTCCTCTACAATATACAGATAATTTTGGTGTGAAAATGTTTTGCTGCCAATATATTAAAAAGTGTCAGTTATTATAGAAATTAAAGAGTATCCGACATGCCTACGTAGAGTTGCTTGCTTATAGATTCTGTCATTTGTTTCTTTTTTTTGTTATTTTTTGCTCTCCCCTTTGCTTCTCTTCTGGCATCTCCTTTTCTCTCTCCCTCTCTTTTCCAGCTTTCCCTCAAAAGCACACACAATTCTAGAGATTGGTAGTAAATTTTCTGTTTTGCAGTTTGAAGCTCTTTAGATCATATAAATATAATCCTGCCTAGGAAGTTCTCCCTTAGCATGGCCTTGTTATTGGGACCCACACTGGGAACCGTAGGAAACAGCCTCCTAAAAGGCACTWGGACGGTTTGTGCCTTGAGATTTCAGTCTCACTTCAGTTACGTTACTCGACCTGGCACCCTAGTAGTTATATATCTTAGTGGCAGCATTTAGGCAGCAGCCCACTCATCCTGCAAGATCCTCCACCCACGGCTCAGGATCAGCTTTCCAGCCTGCCATCAAACACCCTTCAGCCTTCCCTTCTTCCGCTAATCCCRCAAACATGTCCCATAGACAATACTTAGCATAAACCAGAACAACCTAACGTCCTGCTGCAGTGCCACAAAGAAGGAAATTTGATGGGAGTGTCAAGACAGGTTAATTACYGATGTCTTTCAGAGCTGGGTGCCCTCCACTACCCCCAGTAGTCTGCAAAGGAGCCCTTGACAGCATGAAGCATTCGACAGGGAAACATCTCAGTCCTTCCTGCCAAATGCTAATTACTCTTGTTCTTTTTCATGCCCTGTATTTTCTCTGCAAACTTAAATGTCTGAGTATAGTTTTCTTTATTGTACTCAGAACATTAACTTTAATAGGTGTAGTAGCGGGTCCTAATAGGATAAATGTCTCTGCTTTTCATCTTTATTGTTTCTCAGACACACAGTTCTGGGAAAAAGCAATTCACCAGCTTTAAAACAGATATTTATGATGGTCCTTATACTCCTATGGTTGAACTAATGTGCATTAGTATATACATCTAACTGACTACCTGAGGCCCGATCCAAAACCCATTAGGTCAGTAACAAGATTTCCTTTGATTTTGGTGGGCTTCAGAGTCACTAATGAAACAGCAGAACGGTCACCACATGTAGTTTTTTTTTTCTGTCCTTGAAAAATGAAGGATTAACAATGGTACTTGTAACTATTTTTAATGAATAATTAAACTTCTAGGATTAAAGAAAACATGTTCTTACAAAATAAATAATGGCTGGTTTAGGTCAGTATAGAAGAGATGAGTCACCTCCTGCTCCTAATGCAGAAAGGTCCTGCCGGCTGCAGGAATGGGCTGCTCCCCTTGGGAAGGTGGCCCAGGAGCAGCAGGTGACCCTGGCTCGGGCAGCGCTCGGGGCCGGCAGGGCCGCGTGGTGAGGACGGTAGCCCCAGTGAGGGCCCAGGTGTCATGGGAAGAGATGAGGTGACCAAGCGTGTCCAGGGCACGAGCRGCAGCACGGGGCACAGCATGGGCAGCACTTCAGGCTGGGCTACCCTCATGTGTGCCCCCAGCTGAGGCTGGACCTAGCTGGTAACACCTAGGGGTGCTCTCAAGGCTCTGGCACCTACGGTCTGGCATTATAACTGAGCAGGCTGCTCTGGACCCACTGACTGARATAGGCTGTGCAAAATGGGTGATTTACGCTGCTCAAGAGGTGGGAACTCACTGCGTTCTGCATCCTGAAGCCCTACAGATGATGTACATTGATCCATTTAAAATTCACACTACGAACCACAATGTTCAATGGAAGCGTCTTAAATACCATTTCTTATTTGACAATGCTCTGGAATAATAGGAAGGAAGGAGAATATGAAGTTCAGAATAATTGCAAACCTGCAAAGGATCCTGATATATTGAAAAAAAMCCCATAATTTACCATCTTAATTAAATTAGGCTTTATGTTTCTTTAGCAGTTGCCTCTCTCTGAAGTTTCAGGCACAGATTTCTCAACTTACACTTATCTGTTTTCTATAAGTGCTCTTCATAGCTTTAGGGCTCCATTTGTTACATCATAGACGAGGTTTTAGGGTATGAACTAGAGCATAGATTAGAAACTGCCAAAACCATGCAGCAATGAGCTAGCTATAGAGCAAGATTTCAGAAGCTGATTTCAGAAAACAAATTCTGAATGGTCATTACATGTCATCTCTTTTTATTAATGATCCAGTTTTCTCAGTTTTCCCACTGGTATTTCTAGACAATCTATAAATATCCATTCATCATGGCCACCTATTCA